TTTGCACCTGTTACATGGTTTTACGTCACATTTAACGGAAAATGTAATATAATACGTGTTTTTGTTTAGTTAGAAGTTCAGCTTTCTAATCTTTGAACGGCATTTACTGAGTGAGTCATCTAAATCTCTAAATCTAATAAAAATATTTAGAATACAAATTGCACCGTATATCGCTTTTATGTTAAGCTTTCTCTCTAAAAGTTTTTATATACTTTCAAATAAAGATACTTACGAACATAATAAATAAATTAGATATTAAAATGCATATATACAGGGTGTCCCCGTATAAGTGGCCACCCCTTTTTATCTCGTAAACTAACAGAGATAGATCTAATAAATATAATATTAAATTAAATGGCTCTAACTAAACTTTATTGTAAACACAGTGATTACTTAGATATATTATCTATGTTAGAGAGCGGAAACACATGATTAATTTTTGCACGGTAAAGTGACAATTTTAATATGATAAAAGCTGTAGCGTTTTTTTTAACGAATACAACAATGTATGATATAACGAAATAATTAAATTATTTTACAAATTATAAGAGTTATTTTGGTTTAAAGTTTTGTGGGCGGCTACTACCTTTTCAATTTCTGCCCTGCGGTGTGGCCAACTCTCGCACTGACGAGAGTACTATGATCAGATAAAAACATTACACGTCAATTGTCAACGCGAAAGTCGGAAATTAGCCACCAACCGCAGGGCCGAAACTGAAAAGATAACAGTTGCCAGCAAAACTTTAAACCAAAAATAATTAGTATAATTTGTAAGATAATGTTGTTATATCACACATCGTTGTATTCGTTAATAAAAAGAACATTATATTAAAATTGTCACTTTGCCGAGCAAAATTAATCACGTGTTTCCACTCTCTAACATAGATAATATTTCTAAGTAATCACTTACAATAAAGTTTAGTTAGAGCCGTTTAATTTAATATTATATTTATTAGGTCTATCTCTGTTAGTTTACGAGATAAAAAGGGATAGTTACTTATACGGGAACACCTTGTGTGTGTATATATATATTGTGACAACAGATTAAAAATAATATTATTTAAACGAGAGTATCTCAGAAGATTCGAAATGAAAACAGTTCTATTTCTACACTGAAAAGATAAAGAAAAAGTAACAATACTAAATCACTCAGTACATCAACTTCTCAAAGACCTGATAATTAGAAGCGAAACATCTTGATGATCACAAAATGATTTGAGATAACAACAAATTGAATCATTTCGTTGGCACGCAGAGAATTCTCCAATTATCAATAAATTTAAGAAATCGTTATCAAGAATTTTGTTAATTATCTTCTCAGATATAAGATGTTGATTTCTTGTACTTTTTGTAGATAAATTTTAGTTTCCACTGTCGGTCGTTATTTTAGACGCAAGTGAAATAAAATTTTACGATGAAAACTTCCGATTTCAAACGTCACGAACTTTACACAATAGCCCGAAATTACTTGTATTTTATACCATGCCAATCGACGTTGGAATATAATAGCGTAGATAAATTGTTATATTTTTAGAAGTTTTATTTTTCAGCCTTTTATTCGGTTAGATTGGCGATTTCGCTCATGCGAGCGCTCGAGAATCTCGCGTAAATTCTTTGTTCTCGTCGAACGCGTCGAACGCAAAGCTCAGTTCATCACTGAAATGGATTTTCGATCAGCTCACATTGAAAAGAACGTTGATTATTATAGCAACGAGAGAATAAATTTGTTGGGCCATCAAAATAACGTAATAAATATCACTGATGAAGAAAATAATGATTATATGCATTCCATTAATTCAGTACATTATTACATCACTTTAATCATTATTAATAAACGATATAACCACGTACTTTATTATGCCAGATTAAATAACTTTTGTACTTTTAAGCTTATTAAAGTTACTGAACTCTCGTGGTGCTTTTCAGTAACGAACTTTCTCTAACTTATGAATAATCTTATCTTTAAATAATCAGATTTAGAAAAAAAAACACAGTTCGGTCATTTTAAGAATCGGACATTCACTTGGACGATAACACATTTTTTTAAGGATGAGTGCCTGCAATTAGTGCTGGAACGGAAGCCAGTAATTAAAGTAACCTAATTTTAACTGGTGTAATAAATCACACGTGTGAGATGTGTTTGACTTGCTGATTCGGTATCGAAGCTTCCCCCCCCCCCTCTCTCTCTCTCTCTATCTCGTGTTATCAGTCGGAAAGCAGCGGAGAACGAAAATGAAAACGCAGGATATCACGCAGGCTATAAATGACGGGCCGATTTGATTTCCGAAGCTAGCGCGCGCGGGACAGAATTTTAATTACTCGCTTGTCCTACAGAAAATTGATGTTCCTCCATTTCGTCTCTCTCTCTCTCTCTCCCTCTCCCTTCTCTCCCCTTTCCGGCGCGATCCGCGCATTGTCCTCTCCTTTTCCAACAGCATCCATCGATGGAAACGCCGCGTTACGAGAAATCAATGGGCCGTCCGTACGCGACGCGCGTTTCATTTCGCTTCGTCGACAGCCGAAGCACGAGAATTTTGAAGAATGTTCCGTAAAAACGTACACGTATACAACATATACATATTTATATGACTGTGCAGGCGTTGCGCGGCAGAGATTTATTATTTACAATTCCATTATATTTTTACAGGAATCAGCGAGTATTTGTCGGAGAATTTATTCTACTCTTCTTCAATTATCAACAGTTAGACATTTCAACACAATCAGATGTCAGGTATAGAAAAAAAAAAAATTTCTCCCGTTTCCATTCCGCGCTCGACAGATTACACAAAGTAGACACTGCACGTCGCTTTCTTCGCTCACGTCTTGCGCAATACGTTGTTTCCTCTGTCATCGACGATAGTTGCGAGCTGCCGGAAGCGGCAATTCCGAGGTATAGCGTCGACACGCATGCTTTTGAATAATTAACCACTGTCAACGACGAGAAGCGCGAGGGAACAAGTTCGCTCTCGAACGGGTGTCTAATTAAGCTCTCCTCGGTGCTCCGCGAACGCGTCCGCCGACAAACGCGGTTAACTTTGTCACGGCGCGGCGCGGCGATTTTCAAAGGCCCCGATGGCTCTCGGCGCGCATTTAGGGCTAAATGTGGCCGTCCAAGTATCGCGTTGTCACGAATACACGGAGAAGCGCGACGGAAACCGAGAGTATCTGGTCAGATTTATAAACTTCAACGAGAAATAAATTCGATTTCTTTGTGACGCCTATCCTGCATCTATCCATTCTCGTAACTTCAAATAAATTGAGCTGAATTATTAATAAGAAACAATTGTATTATACTCTATGAATTTTCTAGAGTGACTTTTCACTCTTTTGGAGTGAATCTCATTCCAAAAGAGTGAAAATACTGTCACTCAAGTGACCGAGTGGCAGTATTTTCAATCTTTTGGAGTGAGATTCACTCCAGAAAATTTAGAGAGTACGCAATTGTACACGGAGAGAATGCTCTTTTAAAATTTACCCTGAAAATCATGTTAATCATGGGACAACATAGTATTTCGACAAATTTTATGTGAGTTTCTCTATTTTTTTTTACTGTGCACTACAATAAAATTTGTTGTACTATATATTAAAAAAAAAAGTGAAAATCACATAAAATATGTTGTCCCACGATTAATATGATTTTCAGGGTAAATTTTAAAATAAAATTCTCTCCGTGTACATTACACAACGAATTAAGAGTGACTTCTAACGCGACGATAACATCACTGATCACGACTGTCCGTTTACTATCTGCATATGTGGTCCACACGAAGAATCATTCGTCGAGACGATTTCGGGACGATTGATACCGAAGTCGCTCGCGAGTAAGAGAGAGAGAGGAATGATTTCCTTCCGAATAGCTCCAGATCCGCGCTCGTTTACGATCGCGTATCCCGCAGGAACCGACGGCGCGCCGCCCGCGTAAACGCTCCTGTTTACCATCGAGAAGACAATAAACAGGATCAGGAGACAAACATCGCCAACGACGACGACGACAACGACGACGACTCGGAGTTCACCCTCCCTCGAGGCGCGCGACAACGTTCTGGAAGCTTCGTGGAATTCCCTTTCAGGGCTGTGCGCGCGTTCGAGACCCGTCCGTACCGCGTGGAAAACGTGATTATAGCCGTAACCGCGCGGCGCGGCGCGCGGCGGCGGGAGGCCGCCGGAGAGGACGGGAGAAAGGAAGGCTCTCCGACCGTGTCATTGTTCTCGGGGAATTCTTCGACGATCAAAAGCTATATACGCCGAGTCGTGGAATTTCATCATTGAGAAGTTCGCCGTGGAGAACGAATGGGAAAGCGAGGAGATTCGATCAAACGAGGAGTAAAGGAGGGGGGGCGAGATGTTAAGCGCGTGGGAGAAAATACAACTCGACACGGTGTCTCGATTGATGCGAGTGGCTGACGAGAGTAGTGACGCACGACTATAATTCTGCTTAACGCGGACGCGGCTCGGATTCGCAAATCGCGCACAAACCGTAACTTCGCCGCTAACATTTCACGACGTTTTAACGCGTCTCATCTGCTTTAACGACTGAAACTCCACAGTTGAAGTTTCGTCTCCCCCTCTCCAGAACCAGACTTGAAAATATCCTAACGTTTTTGCGACTCCACCGCTTCGGGCATCGTTAATCTTTCTTTCAAATCTTAAGTCTTCCTCCTACCGTGCGTCCGTTTCCACTCATTCTACCTCCGCACTTTTATTTATTCCATACGCATTGCTCTCGCTTAGTAAAAGAAACAAAGAGTTTTCTTTTAAGGAAAAAAAAAAGGGAAGAACGGTTGAAAATCCGTAAAGCCAACCTTCGAAAGGTTTTTCCTCATTCTTTTGTAGAACAATCAGAATGCATTCGAACATTCCGAGACGCGTATTCGAGGACACTCTGGATGAACGCGGTCTCTCGCAGCCGAGCGCTCTCGTAGAGCTCGATGGGCGCGTACCTGGCTGGTTTCTTTATTTTTTATTTTCTTTTTTTTTTTACCAGGCCTGAGAAAACTCACCGTAAACACGAGGATAATCCGTGCGCTGCCGAATAAACGTTGAGCTTCCCGTTTGTGTCTCCCTTCAGTCGCGGCACACTCTGCGGCACATGTCACAAGAAAAAGCCACGACGTCGTTAAACAGACGCCGGAGCGGAGAGAACGGAGGACGCGCGCTCCGATTTTTCCTTTTCACTTTCGTCCTTTCGCCTCCCGGCTCCTTCCCACGACCCTCGCACAAACGAGATTCTTCTCCTCCTTCCGATTCTCTCTCGCGCGCACTACTCGACCGTCGTTGTCGTTAGGTTAGGTCGCCGGTTCGTCGCGCAGGCAGGCAAAGGCAGGCAAGGCAGGCAGACAGGCAGGCAGGCCAAAAAATCCGGGGTCTCGTTCTCTCTTTCTTCTACTCTCACCCTGCTTGCACTCTCCGGTCGTCTCTCACTCTTTCACTCCACAAATCGTGTCCCTTTTCGTATAGAAGGATGTCCGACAGGCAGGTACGCTACCGCTCTTTTCTTTCTTTCTTCCTCTGTCTCTCTCTCTCTCTCTCCTCTCCGGAATCGTCGCAGGATATCGTCAGGATAGAAAAGTATAAAAAAAGCAAAAAACAACGCACAATGCACAAGTCAACGGGAGTTCGCGACGCGTCCGTCGGTTTCGGAACACCGGTTTATGAGTGGCTCGCGTTGTTTGGAGCAGCGAGGAGTTTCTCTCTCTATCTCTCTCCTTCTACTTGTCTTTCTTGATATGAGAAAGAGATCTCGATCCGATCGAGAGAGAGAGTTTACGCCGCTTTTTCGACCCGTGAGTGCCAACAATGTCGCCGGGGAGCAAACGCGCACGACCGCCGGGTGTACAACGCTCGTTTTTGTTAAAACCCCGCACCGCGCTCGGATCACCCTCTTCTCGCGCGCGCAGATCCTGCCGCCGTCCTTTGTTCCTCACGTCTCGGCCGCTGCTACGTGACTGACCGCTTCGTGCGCGCCCGACGCACACGAGCCGCGCCGAAGGCACCCGAGGAAGGATCCCGACGGTTCGTCGATCGGAAACGACCCTCGACGCGGAGAGCCGAGGGAGAAGAACCTTCCTTTGTTCAGGCGAGACCGAGCGGCACGACGACGACGATGACTGCGACGACGGCGAAGACGACGACTCGTAACATAGTCTGCGCTTCTCTTCTCCGCTCTCTCTTCCTTTTTCTCGTTCTCTCTCTCTCTTTCTCTTCTCCTCCCCCAAGATGCGCCTTTCTCTCGTATTATATTTTGATCCTTCTCTTTCGCTCCCTTTTCAACGTAGATATATTATGCACACGCCACACTCTCGCACACTCCTTTCTTTCTCTCACTCTCTTCCTTTCACTCGTTCTCTCTCGCGCGCTCTCTCTCTCTCTCTCTCTCTCGCTCTCCCCCTCTTGCTTCGCGTCGGCGATGTGAACGATCGCGCGGTCTGTTGGTAACTGAAACGACGCTCTAACGGTGGAGTCCGAGTTGAACCACGGCGTCGAGACGCTGTGGTCAATGGTGGGGGGGAGCCTTCGAACAACCACCACCACCACTACCACCATCCATGTTCGCTGCCGCCGACGCCGACGCTGACGCCGACGACGCCGACGCCGACACCGCCGCCGCCGCCGCCACCGCCATCGCCATCGCCGGTGGTGTTCCTCCTCTCTCCCTTCCGCCGCTCCGGCTGCCCTCCCGGCTGGCGCGCAACACCCTCGCGGCATCAACCCGGCGCGACGCGGCGCCCGTTGGCGTCATAACGGGTGGCCAGATCGAAAGAAGTCGCTGCTGATGGTCTCCGCCACGATCGATCGGTCGCACGTACGGCTACTCCGACGCCTTTCGGTACGATAACCTTGATCTTGATCCGTAAATTTCGTTATCATCGCCGTAATGCACGCCATCGGATTAATATTGGAGACAGAGGGGAGTTAGACGTGCGTTAGATGAGAGTTAGAAGATTCGCAACGCGATCTTAGAAATCCTTTTTTTTTCTCCCTTATACGTGAAAAAACTCGGACTTTGTCTGGCGCACGCCATGAAATACGCCAGGTGGTAAAATATTTTTTTCTGTAAACGAACGACTTTCGATTGCCTCGTAATGTCATTACATTATACTGCTCCTCATCAATAAATACATGCCGCGAGCACATTTTGCGCGACGCATCGCGATAAATAATGCAAAGCCGAAGCGCGGCAGCTGGGGGACAATCGGACGTAAAACCGTAACCAATTACAGACGTACCACAGGCTTCATACCATAACCTATGATACACTGTAGTTTGCGATGAATCAATAAAACATCCATCTATTATGACGGTAAAACGTAACGCCCCTTATCATATTATTGTTTTCCCCCTGAGCTATTTTAGTTCAGTCGGTGCATTCGAACGCAGCGTCGAATCCGCATGATATATTATTTTCCAAAATAAAACTTTTAATCGTAAATATCATTGCTTTCTTTTGCAGAATATACAAAATGCAATTGTTCAAAAGCGCTGCTTCTGATTTTCGCAGTATGCAAGAATAAATGCAATATAAATGCAAGAATACACGGAAAGATCAATTTTGCTGAATCCAGATCTGAAAATAATTTTTGTTTAATAGTCAAAATAATTTTGTGCGAAAGTCAAAGTGATTGCTAGAATATCAAAACGTTTTATAGCAATGCTTATCAGTTTTTAACATTCCAACAAATTATTTTGATGATTCAACAAAAAATTATATTCAGATCTATTTTTAGCAAAATTTTTAGATCTTTCAAGAAAATCGTTCTTTCCATGTACAATCTATTGCAAAGTGTCATTTAACTAACTTGTTAATTAATCAGGGATCAAATAATCTTTCCGCGCAAGCAATGCCTCGCGGCAGTGCACATGCGATAAGTTTTCCAATTTTAATTTTCCCGCTTTTACTAAATGCATCATGAAACAGAAAAAAATTGTATCCAATTATTTTAAGTAATATTACTTATTCTCTCTCTCGTTGAGTTTCATATCAAGAAAAGATTAAATAACGCATTAGAGAGAATTAATAGCATTAAAAAAAAAATTTTTTTTTTATAATGTCACTAATTGGAAACGTGAATCGTTTATCTGTATAGCGCTGCACGTGCGCACATGTTGAAAAAAGAAACAATAAGCGTGAAAACCTCGGGGACGTGGACGCCAGGTGAGGGTAGAAGAGATAATGAGGAAAAGTATGCCGTATGGTCGTTGCGAGGGAAAAAGAGAGAATGTTTTACATCCGTGAGAAAATTTTCTGCGCACGGCGGTTTTCCCCGTTTGTGTGGAGATCGCGATGGTTTTGCTTTTCTTTTCATTGAGCGCGTAACGACGTTCATGCTCTCCTATTCTGTACATATACCGCCCGTATACCGCGTGTAATTCAACCTTAATGTGTAACTCAAACCTATACATTCTCCAAGCATGTCATTAATCGTAAAAAAGTATATCGCGCAGCTTGTATTATATTAGCGAAAAATGTGCGATATAATTATAAAAACGTTACGTATAAATGAAAGGTGATGAGCTCGATGGGCATACGATTGCGAGACCAAGAAAGTGCGCGCGAAATACCGCGCGGAATCGCCTTGCTTGCTTGCTTGCGCGCGCGCTTCGAGCATAAATTAAAGGAAACATTTTGCACCAGTTCGTTATATAAGGATTACCGTGTAGGAAGAGAGCTTTTGCTGGAAATCAAAGTAAACGTATTCACGGCAGACACGTAACGCGGTAACACGCGGTGAAATTTACCTTGCGTAAATGTGCCCATTGGCCCACCTAGCAGCTCTCGCTATATAGGGAATCCTATCTCCGAATATGCAAAAATCTACACGGAAAGAACGATTTTGTTGAAAGACCTAAAAATTTTGTTAAAAACACATCTGAAAATAATTTTTTATTCAATCACCAAAATAATTTGTTGGAACGTTCAAAACTGATAAGTATTACTATAAAACGTTTTGATATTCTAGCAATCATTTTGACTTTCGCACAAAATAATTTTGATTATTGAACAAAAATTATTTTCAGATCTGAATTCAACAAAATTGTTCTTTTCGTCTAGGTATTATGTCGCGCAGCGAATTTTTGTTATAGACAAAACGTACCGCCGCGCGGCACGAGGATTTTTCAGAAGATTTCTCCGCGCTTTTCAGTTTCAGCATTATTTCGTGGAAATAGGGAAAATATACTATCAAGTCAGGTAGGTAGGTAGATTACTTCGCGGAGAAGGGAGAATATTTCACGGGGCTGACACTCACGAGAAAACAGTCCCGAGGTAGCTGAGGAGGGAGACAAACGGCCTAGGTTTCCTTTTCACGCGGGTTTTCAGGGGCTCGGTTATCGCGCGGCAGTTGCGCAAGCCATCGTTCCGAAATGAGGCGAATCAATTACACGGAAGGGGGGGAAGGGGGGAGATGAAAATCCGCGTGGCACAGTCGCAAACGAACCAGGCGGCGAGAAAATACCCGGTAATAACGGCGGTACGACGAAAGGGGCGATGACGAATGAGAGCTGACACCTTCTTTATTCGTGGGACATAAAATTAAAGAACTCCAGCGGTATTTGCGCAGAAAGCGAAAAGGACCGTACATCATTGCATTATTCCAATAAGACGCGTGTTGTCTACATTTACACAAATTGCCTGTTCATTTAACGAAAAATAACTCGATAACTCGTCACAAGTGCTCGTTATATTCGTCAACGATCGACATGCTTTTTGCATTTCAATTCTTGAGCTGTTCCGCGGGAAAAAACAGGATGTCGATGATTTCAAGCGTCTTGAAGATGCGCCGTTGCTTTCTAAAGTTGTGTGTATTTTAAAAATTCCAAATTCGCGTGACAGGTAGATGAGCTGTCATTAACTTTCGTCACGCGCTCGACTTTCCAATCACCACCTTCGCTAATGCCAAGGATACGCCAAGATAGAAACATTCCAACCATTAAACACTTTTACGAGCAGTAAGCCTTTTCATTTAGCTGCGAGCGTTGCACGCGTGTAATTACGAGTTTCTTTCAATGCACGGAGGACGACAACAACCGTTTCGCGTCAGTGCTTATTATTCGATAGTCTTGAGAATATAATAATTAACAATAATAATTTATCTGTGTGAACATCGCGTCCCCTTTCAAACTAATCGAAATAAGTAGATACGTGTAACATACGTATGGCTGTAATTTTTTAAAATTTGTATGTGCAAAATCTAGAAACAATAGTGTAGTGATGTATATATTGCGCATTTTCCAATTACGCGTCGCAGTTCCACGCGTCAATTAACGTTGTTTCCAAATCAATAAATAAAAATATAAAATATGAAAAAAAATTAAATATTAGGGAAATAAGTCAAATTACAGTTAATAATTTCATCGAATTGAACAATGCAAAGAATGAACGTACATTGAAAACAAATAACCATTTTCAAATAATAAATATCATCAAAGATACTCATTTTAATCTCGTTGTATGCTCGTATTTATCCATCTCAGAAAAAGTATAAAAGAATCGACGGGGTTCGTTGCCTAGGACGGAACAAATATCGAGTTCTGGTTCGAAAAGAATACTTCAAGGATTCTGAAGAGAAACAAATGTGAGAGACCTGCTGATTTGTAAAGGTAAAATAAATGGTTAGGCATTTCGTAGCTTATTTCTCTTGGAAAAAGTTTTCAATAAATCGAACAATCTTTGTATACATATTTTTTTATTGATCACTTCAGAAAATAATTCACGCGGCGCGGAAGTTGGTCCCAAAAATTTCCTCTTTGTGCAACTCCTCGAACTCTTTCCTCATAAATTGGTAGATACTTTGAAAGTCATCATAAATTTTATCGACATCGCGATTGCACGGGCGATAAATATCGATACGCGCCGATCGGCGAGCCCATATTAAGGAGACGTCAGTAAGTTTTGTGGAGTTCTGAAATATCATTTTCGCGCGCTCTCTCCGAGCGAGAAGAAATTTCTACGAATTCTACGAATTTTTGTCGTAAACCTGTTAACACTGCAATTTGAATAAATTTTTACAATTTGCCTATAATTTGCTAATACTGCAAAATTTTCGGCGTATGAATTCGATGCTCGATGGGAGTATTTGACGGTAAAAAGGAAAAAAGGAACGCCGTAAAAAAAAAATCGAATAAAGCTCTCTTATAGAACGTCAACTGAAATCTTTTGCTCCGCAAAAAAAAACATTCCATTTAATTGAAAATTTTCTTCAAACAGGACGCGCGATAAAATATTCAAAGTGTCACAAGATATACCTATATAAGTACGATTATATAGTAGGGAACGTCACAAACTACCCGATTGCCCGGGCGTTAAATTATGACACTCGTAACGAGTTTTTGCCACTATCGGAATGGCTTACGGCCCTGAGTCCCGGTCGAAGCACAGCGAGGGGCACCTGCTCCGGATCCAAAAGACGTTACACGCAACGAACATACCCTACGT